GATTTTATGGTACCCTCTACACTGCATGCCGCTTTCACTTTCTTTGATCATCAGATTTTATGGTACCCTCTACACTGCATGCCGCTTTCACTTTCTTTGATCATCAGATTTTATGGTACCCTCTACACTGCATGCCGCTTTCACTTTCTTTGATCATCAGATTTTATGGTACCCTCTACACTGCATGCCGCTTTCACTTTCTTTGATCATCAGATTTTATGGTACCCTCTACACTGCATGCCGCTTTCACTTTCTTTGATCATCAGATTTTATGGTACCTTCTGCATAGATTTATGGCCATTCAGGGGTGACTTGCAGGCATGAAGGCGTTGCCCCGGGGTACTTGAATGCGGTTTTGAGCTGCACCTTTTTATGTTTTATTGAACTGTTTTAAACCCTTAAATATCTCCCTCTCCCAGCTGACGGAGGGCTAGCTTGTGAAAACGGAGTTTTCCATCAGCTGGATTTGCATGGAATGTCTACATTTTCTCTGAAAACAGGACACTTAAACTGAATGTTGAAATAGCACGTTTTGCACTTTACTATAACTGGCTGCCAGATATTTGTTTGAACGTCTTTACGATCTTGTATTGGAACCTTCAGTCCTAATATTGCATAGGTATTAGTAATCGATAAAAAGGTAAAGGTTTCCCTCGCTCGAAAGCCAGTCGAATCCGACTCTAGGGGGCGGTGCTCATTTCTGTTTCCAAGCCGAAGAGCCAGCGCTGTCCGAAGACTTCTTCGTGGTCATGTGGCCGGCGTGACTAAACGCCAAGCCGCACGGAACGCTGTTGCCTTTCCACCGAAGCAGTATCCATTTATCTACTTGCAATGTCTTGCTTTCGAATTGCTAGGTTGGCAGGAGCTGGGGCCAGAGACGGAAGCTCACTCCGTCACGCAGCACTTGGGCCTCAAACTGCCAAACTCCAGACCTTCCGGTCTGCAGCTCAGCGTCGTTGACCTCTGAGATGCACACCCAAATTGTGGTATAACTCGCATTTATTAATTACACTATGAGTTTATAATGAGTAGGTTTTCACGGCATAATTTTTTGGTAGCTCATTGCCACGATTCTCTCTTCACCCCTTCATTTCAGAGGGTGAAGGGGGCAGGAGAATCGAAGTATCATCCATCGATTGGGAAAGCGACGGAGCCTTTGAGCCTCCTGTGAGGTTTTTGCAATCGTTCGCCAAACCATTTTCTCTTTCTTTGAGCAAGAGAATAATGAACTAGAGCGAGAAGCGTGTCAAATTTCAGCTTCCAGTTTGTCGGCAGTGAAAAATGCTCTCAAGTTGCGGCCAACCGATGGAGTCCCCGTAGGGTTTGCAAGGCAAGGACTGTTCAGAATGAGATCGGGCCAAGCTGGCCCACCCAGGTCAGGGACCCCAGAGCCTTAGCACACACTGCTACCCGGCACTCCTCACAAAACCAGTGTTCCCTCTAAGCTGAGTTAGTGTGAGCCGGCTCACAGTTTTTTAGCCTCTGGCTCACGCATTTTTGTCTTAGCTCAGGAAGGGATGGCTCCAGAGCAAACTAATTTATGCAACAGCCGAATGGCTCGCCCACAACTTCAATGACGGTAGCTCACAAAGTAGAATTTTTGCTCACAAGGCTCCGCAGCTTAGAGGGAGCCCTGCAAAAAACCCCTCTTTTGTGACCCCAAGTTAGCCCTTCACGCCCGCTTCATAAAGAACTGATTCTCCTTTTATGCGTGGCCGCCAGACTTTTAAAATCGCAAAATCCTGGAAAAATAATACCCAACTTCAATGCTCCCTCTAAGCTGTGGAGTTCTTGTGAGCAACAATCCTACTTTGTGAGCTCCTGGCATTACAGTTGTGAGCGAGCGATTTGACTACTGCATCACTTAGTTTGCTCTGGAGCCACCGTTCCCGAGCGAATACAAAAATGTGTGGGAAAAGAAAAAAAAAACTGTGAGCTAGCTCACATTAGCTCAGCTTAGAGGGAACGCTGCCCACCCTACATTATCAACCTGGCTACATAAAGTCTGTGATTTTAGATTATCAACCTGGCTACATAAAGTCTGCGATTTCTGTCTGATGGACAAACTTACTGATTCTCTTCTTCCTAAGGCTACAGAATCGTTTTGATTTGAAATTTGCCTCGATCTGGTTCCCCTTCCTGGACTATTTATCCACTAAACCTGAGTATTCTTCGATTTTGGATACTATAACTCTGCTGTATTGATGCATTTCATGCGATGTTTCCTGTTCACGAAGTTCTTTTGTCAAACTGGGGTTTTTTTGTTACTGTTGCCTCTACATCGTTTGTTATGTAAGTCTTATCACATGTGCCAGTTAAGCCGTATTTCTGATGTTATACGTACTTGCCTGCGTTAAATAAAGATTAAAAGCTTAAGAAGAAGAAAAAGTCCAGTTCCATACCTTGAAGAAGCCGGCGTCCTCTTCAAGACGGAACTCCTGCTTCCCGGCGTGTTTCCAGGGGATGCGGAACCTCGTCTTCGCGGGGTCGTCCCACACCAGCCCAGAGAATTTCCCACTCTCCACCTGCTCCACGATCCACTGCCGCAGCTTCCGGGTAGACCGGACACCCCGTGCTGGGGTCGCCATCCTTGACAGGGGGTTAAAAAGAGGAAGTTCAGCAGAGGAGAGATGCCAGCCAAACGTTGTGGGGAGGGAGGGGGGAAGGGGGGGAAGAACGAGCGAAGGGAAGGGGCGAAATGCAAATAGAAAGAGCAGCGATCCGCACCCGTCTGAAACGAGAAAATCCCTGTTTGCGATGGGTCGACGAGCCAACTAAAGGGATTCGCGTTCTGCGGCTCAAAGGCGGAGAGGAGCAGTGAGACAGTGTGGTGTAATAGTTAAGAGATCCGGGCACAAATCACGCCAAGGAAGCTCGCTGGGCGACCTCGGGTCGGTTACACTCTACCAGCCTAACCTACCTCATGGAGTTGTCGTGAGGATAAAACAGAGGTGAGGGGGACAATGTAATCTACTTTTGGTCCCTGCTGGGGGAGACAGGCAGTTTGGTGTAGTGGTTAAGTGCGTGGACCCTAATCTGGGAGAACCGGGTTTGATTCCCCACTCCTCCACCTGCAGCTGCTGGATGACCTTGGGCAAGCCATAGTTCTGTCAGAGCTGTCCTTGAAAGGGCAGTTCTTGAGAGAGCTCTCTCAGCCCCGCCTACCTCACAGGGTGTCTGTTGTGGGGAGGGGAAGGGAAAGGAAAGGAGTTTGTAAACTACTCTGAGACTCCGAGTGAAGGGCGGGGTATAAATCCAATCTCTTCTTCTTCTTAATATATAAAATAAGTAACCAGAAGAGTCAAAAAAGCCAAACCCGAGTGATACGACTGTCAAGATGATGAACAATCCTATTGTGCCTAGACTCCAGTCCAGCCAAGAACCCTTTCCTCCGATTTTCCAAGTACTATCGAGGTCATGAAGGAACCTTCTCTGTTGATTCTGGATCCAACTCCAGCGGAAGAATTTCCTCCCATGGGAATTTTTGCACTGAATATAAATTATATTTTTGAAGAATTCCTATCAGCTGCTTTGGAAGCCAATTACTGCTGGAAAGGAAGGCCCATTATCTATTTTTTTTAGAAAGGCCGTTACCACCAGTGTTCCCTCTGAGTTCGTGTGAGCTAGCTCAGTTTTTTAGCCTCCGGCTCACACATTTTCGTCTTACCTCAGGAAGGTTGGCTCCAGAGCAAACCGATTTATGCAGCACAGCCAAATCGCTCGCTCACAACTTGAATGCCAGTAGCTCACACAAAGTAGAATTTTTGCTCATAAGACTCCACAGCTTAGAGGGAGCATTGGTTACCACTATCTTACTTTCCCCCCTATTGGGGGGGGGGATTATTTATTTACTTCAGTCAAACGCCATCTTTCTTCCCAGTGAGCACCCACGGTGGTTTACATTATTCTCCTCTTCTCCTTTTTAATTTTTACAACAACGCTGCAAGTGGAGAGTGTGTAACTGGCCCAAGGTCACCCAGCAAGTTTCCACAGGGGATTCGAACCTGGTTCTCACAGATCCTAGTACGACACTCTAACCACTACACCAAGCTGGCTCTCAAATGGAATTCGTAGCATCCTCTGGAACTTCTAGATGGACCCACCCTGCCGACTGTGCTTGAAGCAGAGAGAGAAAGGGGAGGTTGGGAAGGTGGTGGGTACTTTCTCTTATTAACTGCCCTCATCAAGAAATGGGACCCTTGTTGTTCTAGTTATCGATCAATTTTTAATGTCTTGACACGTTCTACCAGCATTGTGCAAAGCCAAATAAGGCCCACAAAATAGGTCACTGGAGTTCGACACCCAGAACCTTTGGGCAGGAGGATGCCTCACTATCTTGACACGTTCTACCAGCGTTCTGCAAAGCCAAATAAGACCCACAAAGTAGGTCAGAACCTTTGGGCAGGAGGATGCCTCACTTCAGCAAGATTGCCAAATTAAGGCAGACTCTTGCCAAACACCAACCCAGCGTTGTTGGAAAGGCTCAGAGGACAGGAGGCAAAGAACAAGAAAGACCCTGATCTGAGAATGGAATGAACCCCGAGCCAAGAGGCTACACCAAAAGACAGAATTGGGTGCTTTCCTGAACTGTCAAAAAACGTAACAAGAGAAAACTAAATGCCTGACAGGTATAAGGAGAGAAAAGGGGGTGGGCAACCGGTGGTGTCATGACAATGTTCTGAATGCTAAGAAGGATCCAACTGTGGCAGGGCAAAAGGAGCATCCACATACAGAACCCCCCCCCCCCCCCAAAAAAAGCACAACAGGCAATTATCTCAAAATTGGTTTTACGCCATCTGGAATCTATTACAGATAGAATTGTCCAACGCCCCAGAAGCGCTTGGGGAAGGCATCTGTTTTATCTTATACCAAACTGCAGAAAATCCTCACGCCTTCCCAAAAGTCGGGGGCCCATGCCAAGCGGCAAGCAAGATGGCGGCACAAGCCTGCGCCCCCAAGCCTCTTGCGCAGACTGGCGACCGGGCAACTGCCCAACACGACCGTCTTCCAACAACGCCAACCCCAGTCCGTGTAGGTTAAAACCGGCAGAAAACGGCTTCCACTTGGGTGCAAGTTTTTAACCTGTGACTCCTACCAGTAGTGCCCAGGTAAACAACCTAGCCAGATGGTGCCCGCGCTGAGCCCAGGGAATCAGTGAGAGACAGACAAAGAAAACCCCTTGAGAATCTACCCAGAGTATTTTGATCTGCCCTTCCGCCCGACAGCGGATTGTCCCAGCTGGACTCCAGAGATGGCAAAGAGGCTGGCAGAGGGCAGCGCTGTGGCAGCGAGATGATCGAGGAGGGTTGCCAACCTCCAGGCCTGGAGATCTCCCAGAATCACAACCGATCTCCAGATGACAAAACGGCTGCTTACGAGGGTGGATTCAACGGCATTAAGACTAAGGCTCCCTCTAAGCTGTGGAGTCTTGTGAGCGAAAATTCCACTCTGTGAGCAAACAGCATTAAAAGTTGTGAGCGAGCGATTTGGCTCCCAACTTTAATGCCAGGAGCCCACAAAGTAGAATTTTTGCTCACAAGACTCCACGGCTCAGAGGGAGCACTGCTAGGACGCGAAGCCCAAAGAGAGTTCCGTGAGGCTTACTGTTAAAAAAATCGAGCTCGCCACCAATGCTCCCTCTAAGCTGTGGAGTCTTGCGAGCAAAAATTCTACTTTGTGAGCTGCTGGCATTAAAAGTTGCGAGCGAGCCACTGGGCTGCTGCAGAAACTAGTCTGCTCTGGAGCCCTCCTTCCTGGGCTAAGACAAAAAGGCGTGAGCCGAAGGCTAAGAAACTGTGAGCTAGCTCACACTGACTCAGCTTAGAGGGAACACTGAGGCCCCCCTCCCTCCCCAAACCGTGCCCTCCCCAGGGTCCACCCCTAAATCTCCAGGAATTTTCTAAGTGGGAGTTGGCACCCTTATGGTCAGGGCCACACTCAGGATGGGGCCTTGGGGGGGGCAGCTGCACCAATTGTCCCAATAGCGAAGGCCGGCCCTGGCAAATAGCTCAGGGCAGTTTTATGTGGTTCTCCTCTCCTTATTTTATTTTTATTATACCCACAACAACCCAGCGGAGCCAGGGGTCTGGCTGTGCCAATGACTCAGCCTCAACCACACAGCGAACTTAGGGTGATCTGAACCTCCAGGTCTCCCCAGGAGCCGAATCTCTCACTCTCAAGATCGCTGCTCTAACCACTACCCCACATTGCCACTTTTTAAAAACCACCTCTCCAGCACAAACTATTGCAACTTAGATCTGTAATCGGCCTTGGTATGACCACGATGGCCTTTCTTTTTTATATATTTAAAATATTTCAATGCTACCTTTCCGCCTAAGACAGGGTCTCAAAGGCAGAACAGCAGGCGACAATTTTTCTAAAAAACATGACTTTGTGCATATTTTATCGGGATCAAGCTGAATCTGCCACTGAAGTTGTTTCCACCCCTCTTTTTCAGAGCAGGAAGCATCTTGCAAAAATGAAAACAACCCCGAAGAGTGAATGCAAATCCGGGTCCTTGCCGGCTACAATCCGCGCCGACTCGCAGTGTTCCCTCTAAGCTGAGTCAGTGTGAGGTAGCTCACAGTTTTTTAGCCTCCGGCTCACACCTTTTTGTCTTAGCCCAGGAAGGAGGGCTCCGGAGCAGACTGATTTCTGCAACAGCCCAATCGCTCACTCACAACTTTAATGCCAGCAGCTCACAAAGTAGAATTTTTGCTCACAAGACTCCACGGCTTAGAGGGAGGACTGGTGCGGAGCTCGATTCCTTTAACAATAAGCCTCACGGAACTCTCTTTGGGCTTCGCTTCCTAGCAGTGTTCCCTCAAAGCTATGGAGTCTTGTGAGCAAAAATTCTACTTTGTGAGCTCCTGGCATGAAAGTTGTGAGCGAGCCATTTGGCTACTGCAGAAATCAGTTTGCTCTGGAGCAATGGTCCCTCTAAGCTGTGGCGGCCTGTGAGCAAAAATTCTACTTGTTGAGGTACTGGCATTAAAGTTGTGAGTGAGTGATTTGGCTGCTGCATACATTAGTTTGCTCTGGAGCCCTCCTCCCTGAGCTAAGGCAAAAATCTGTGAGCTGGAGGCTAAAAAACTGTGAGCTAGCTCACACCAACTCAGCTTAGAGGGAAACTGCTCGTGCGCCA